AGTGGCTACAAAGTTGATTCTCTGTTTCTTTCCCTTTTATTTCCTGCAAGAAAAACTCATTAGAAAGTTACAATCTTTCATCTTTGTTTTAACTTCTGATTCTATCTGAAGATGAAATCTTACCAAGGGAACTTGAATGTGTCTTTCCACCATCCTTGCTTAGAGCAGTTAGTTACTATTTTGTCAAGTCGAATGATAATCTCAGAGAATGTCGGCCTAATACGGACTTCTGGATGCCAACACTCCTCAATCAACCTGCATATTAAGCGATACAACGGATTTAAGAAGTGGCATTTCTTCTTTGTACATAGGCCATAAATAATTCTTGGTCCCAAATAGTTCTAGAGCTTACTCTTTCAAATCCGGAGGGTAAGTTCTTGACTTAGTTTTGAATAGTGGTCTCTTTCCTTCTAAGCATATCATTTTCGTTACTTCTTCAGGTGGTCTCGGGTGAAAAACCGGTACTCCCTCGGTTATCTGACCACATACACACACATACAAGACTAAATAAACAAAAGACACAAGAAAAGAATCGAGCAAGACGAAAAAAAGGTACCTCATATAAAATGACACCAAATGAATGTGAATCGACCCTTCGATCAAATATTTCGTCTTTGTAAACCTCTGGTGCTATGTAGTAATCTGCAGTCAAGAAACCATGTTTGTCAATGATCATAGATCTTGCAAAAGGTTTTATTTTCCCAGTATATGAATGAAGCATTCTTCTTACTTGAGAGATCTATATGTGCTTTATGGTTTGCTACTTTCGCCTTGTCTGGTGAAATTTTCGACAACTTTATCAAACCGAATCCTGAGATCTTCAATTGCCCTCCTCTATCCAGCAAAATATTTCTGGCACCTTACGAGAAATTTCAAGATATTAAACGAGCAGAAACATCTCAGTGAGTATGAACCAAATGTTTTTCACATATCTTATCGACATTTGCTTTCGGTTATCTTACTTTGGCTTTAGATCGCAGTGAATGATCGGATCTGGTTTACATTCATGGAGGTAATTCATGCCTCTGGAATCAGAAAAACCATTAAAAACACATACACATGGTGAGGTACTTGGTAATTACAGGAACCTTATAAGCAATACAGTAGAAGTTAACATACCTGGCAATATCAAGAGCAAATCTAAGTGCCTTGGAAGGAGAAAGACGTCCTTTCTTTTGGAGATATAAAGCTAAATCTCCCTGCAACATAAATCAAAACGGTAAGAGACGAAAAGACATAGAGATGATTGATGAAATTAGGTAAACACAGAAGGGAGAAGAAAAGTAAAGATGCTTACTTTTGGATTATACTCTACGACAATCATCATCGGTATATTTTGAGTGACAGCTCCAACAAATTGAACAACATTTGGATGCCGGACTTTTTCTAGCAACGTCAATTCGTGTTTAAATGCGTTTCTGTTCAAATAAAAAAACCAGAAATACAAAGGCAGCATCAGTTTCTTCATGTTAAACCAAAACCAACGCTTAGGAAACAAAATTCAACAAACTGATGTAACTTTGAGTTGCTTATATGAAGCTCACTCAAATGTAAACATTGGAACAAGAAGTAAATGCCATACATGCGTTCGGGGTCCGAGTAGCTATCTTTGTCGAGTATTTTCACTGAAACCCGCGTGCCATTCCATTTAGCTATTTGATATGCTCCCTGCAAACAATCAAAACACAAGCTAATTCCAATAAACCGAAAAATGCTCCAAGAACAATGATGTTCCAAAATTCACATGAGCAAAGAACATACCTTTGAGATGCCATCAGATTTCCGTACTTGAACCTCAAGTGGATTAAGCTCATACTCAGGAACTTCTCTTGAATTCGTCACAGTCATCGGTGTCTTCCTAGTTTTCTAAAGAGCATGAAGATAATGAAAAAGCCTTTCATATATAAAACAACACCAAATCGAAATTGTAATCCAAAACATCAATTAGTAACATACCGGAGCTTTAGCTCCTCTAGCCTTCAAAAGATTGTACAAATCTAAATTCCCATAATACTTTGCATCAGCAGCCGCCTAAATTCAAAGATAAAAATGTCACCTTTAACCTCTAATTCAGACAAATCAACACAATCGAAGAAATCTAAAGGTTAATGGAATAAGAAGACAGACCGTACTTCCCCATCGATCACGAGAATCGATGTTAGCTCTCCGGCTAAGAAGAGCTTTAACGACGTCGAGATGTCCTTCACACGCGGCGATGTGAAGCGCCGTACGACCATCGAGATCGATGCTATTAACATCGATTCCTTCATCGAGAAGCTCTTCGACTCCTTGAACGTCACCTTTGCTCGCCATAAAGAGAAGCTGCATCGTGGAATCGAGATTTTCCGGCACCGACATATGTGGCTCTTCGTCGCTTCTGGAATCAGGGCTTCTCCGGATTGGATCGAGAGAAGATTGACGACCGAAGCTGAATCTCATGTTGTTCCGACGAGGGTCGAGAGAAGATTGACGTGTGAACTGTCGGCTCAATGTTCTACGCATCGAACCAGTTGAGAATTGCCTTGAAATCCCGCGTTTTAGCTGTGCGGCTATGTTCTCCATTGATGAAGAAAAAAAAGCTTCTTCCTTTTAACACAAATTCTCAAAATTTGAAGATCGATTGTTTCGTAGATTGATTAAACCCACATTGCGTCTTTGGAGGGTCGTCGTCGTCAATGGAGATTG